GGAGTTTAGGCTTTATCTAAGCTAACTTCTTCCCTAAGCATCCCACTGCTGCCTACCAGCAGCAGTTGGAGTGGGGGTACTAGTTCACGTAAGGCCTTGGCTAACCCGAACTCTTTATTACTACACAGCACCAACTTCTTAGATTTTATCATAGAACCTTCCTTATTCATTGCTTTTAAGAAAAATAAAAAAAGAAAACTCAACAGCCAACAACCTGGGAATGGCACGAGAAGCTTCGATTTGGTAAGAAGGAACGCAGTGTTTGTGGTAACAGAGAAAAGCTTCACAATTTTCTGTTAGTCAGAAACTAAGAAAACAAAAGCCAGGGATCTCTCCACTTGGAAGATGCACATTTTTATCACCTCAGGGTGCATTTTTTCCATCTTGTTCAGTTCTCAGGGCTGACAGTAACAGTCTCTCCCCCTTCGCTGCATTCTTCAGATTATCCTCTTCTTTTTCATTGCTCCTGACATCTGTTCTCATGGTTTTTTTCCTTTCTCTTGGAAAAGGAGACAAAAACTATTTTCCAGAGAGAAGGAAAAATTGCATTCCTTTCTCCATGATACGACTTAGGATTTCTTCTCTGTGTGGCAATGTACTGAGAAACAATAACTCAGCAGCAGGGATCTGCCTCATTAACATGCCGAAGAAAGACCTGCTGGGTCCTGTACTCCGGCTCTGTGCCACAGCTTGGCTAATTCACTCTTCTGGATTGAAATGTAATCATTTGGTCCAATTTAGCCTATCATGCCCCCAGTTAGTGTGGCTTTTGTTCTTTTCTGTAGCAGAAATGTTACTCGCTGGTGTTCTGCCTACCTCCCCTTTTTCTGTGAACACTACACTTCTGTCAGTGCCTTGCAGGCTGGTGTGGGTGCCAGCATCTTTTCTGCACTCCTCACATGAGCCCAAATTCATGTTTCCTGTAACAACGTAATGATAAACAGATCACCGAGGCAGCTGGGTTACATTTGTTGTCCTCTTTCAACCACACGGGCTTTTTGGCTATTGCTTTTACAGGAGGAAGTCGACGCTGGAGCAATCATTTTCCAAGAGGCCGTTCCAGTTAAGGTTGGTGACACAGTGGAGACCCTGTCCGAAAGGGTGAAGGAGGCTGAGCACCGAGCCTTCCCCGCTGCCCTGCAGCTCGTTGCCAGTGGGGCCGTGCAGCTTGGGGAAGCCGGCAAGATCTACTGGAAGTAGGAGCATTATGTCCACCAGCATCCTCAGGTGGGGCAGCTGGTTGCCTTGACTGACCGAAAGAGAGGTCACAGACTAGTAATGCGGACACTGTATTCTCTTCACATAGTGTTTTCAACATGGAGTTTACCATGTCATGTTCTCACTCAAATGGTTAGAGATTCAAAGGAAAATCCAGAGAAATACAGAGAAAGAATGGGAATATTAAGGCAGGGGGCTGTCCTCAGTAGTTTCAGTGATGGCTCTGTTACATGTTTCCTAATTACAATCAGTTCATTTGCCAACATTTGGGCTCAATCACTTTCTTAACAAACAAAAAACCCATTCTCTTGGTTGCAGAGAGATCTGAGCATCTCTGAGGTTGACTTGTGAATGTCAGTATTACTCTCTAACAGACTGTATGGACTATAAGAGAGGATCCTCTTCTCATGTGCTATGAAATGTTTGTGGGGAAAAGTAATGTGACTGGTACAACATGAGAGACAGCTAAAGGCAAAAACTTTACTCAAAAATCTAAGGCAAAACCAAGAACTGGTCTCCCAAAACACTAACTATTTGTGCAGGTAATGAAATGGACTTTTTTCCATATAGTTTCTATTTTAATGTTGGTAGGTTTTGTCTGGGCTGGATTCTGGACATAGGCTGGAATTTCAAGTGTTGGACCTGCTGTCAGATGCTGAATAGATTTAAATGTCCAATGACCATTTGCCTTTGAGCAACCCCATGTGAATCCACATATGAATTCCCCTCAGAGATTTGTTCAGAGCCAAAATAATTGTTTGGGTTTTTTTGATTTTTAACAAGCAGAAGAAGGGTTAGGACTAAATACAGAATGTGTTCTTGGCTTGTGGGACATGCTTCAGCAATTCTGCTGAAGTTAAGTGCCTTTATTCTTGAACTGGTATTTTCACCTGAAATACTGATGGCTTTTCACTGATGGAAACCCAGTAAATGTTATTGTTCTGAAAACAATAAGATTTTGAACAGCTCGATTCTGGTGAAAAAGCACCTGGTCCTTTTTTAATATTTTAATATTAGTTGTGGAAACATTTTAATGTATTTGCTAAAATAATCAGTTTTCCCCCATACAAGCCAGAAGCATCTGACTGAAGCTGATTATATATGTTTTAGAGCTCCCCTTTAATACAGAGAAAGCTAATTTGTATTCTGTGCACTGACGCCTTCCTGATACTTCTGTGTTGACATAATCTCAATTTGGATTTGAAATCATGTCTAATAAAGTTAAAAATTTAAACATCAAAATCTTCGGTAGAATTCCTTTGCCGGGGGATGAGCTGGAGCAGGAGTTTGTGAAAGTACAGCAACTATAAATCGGTTTGTGAGGTTACAACACATGCAATCCTGTGTAAGTCAGTAACAATTCATGGAGTGTGGTGACCTAACTGTGCCCATGGCCAGCTGGTCTGTGATGAAGAAACTTGCTGACAAGATACTCCTGTCTTCATTTGTCACTGAGGATAAAGCTCAAGCAAATACAGAGGAAAATGACATGGTCCAGTTTGATTTGCTTGTAAAGGGCAAAGAATAAAAGCCAAGTCTTCAAAGAGGTTTTCTTTACAAACCTGCCCTCCCACCGAAGGGTCTCCCCCACAGGCAAACTGCCCACGGAGGTTTGAAATCCAGCCTGGCTCAGTGAGGATGCAGAAGATGTGGGGAGCGCCCGGCTCTGGCAGGGGCTCAGCCCACGCGAGCTCAGTGCTGGGGCTACATTGCAAAGTAAACATTTTACAAGTTGAAAGAAACTGTACTTAACTCACAGGTTATAGGGAGTTAAGACCCACTAGAGGTGAAATCAGTACTCGTACAGTTAATAAATGTAACGATACTGATAAAAGCAGTTTGATCACTGCCAGGAAGGCCAACAGAAGGCCCAGATGCTCCAAACCCAGTACCCTGTTCCATCACAGACAGCTTGAACAAGACTAGGGTGTTTTGCCATCTAAGGCTGATGATAAATGGGATTTTAGCACCTATCTGTATTTCTACAAATGCATAAACAGAAATGTGAGTGTGAACTGGATTTTGGATGGTTTTGCTTCAATTACCACTCCGTAAAAAGAATAGATCGATTAATAAAATATCACCGCACTCAACCACAGAGGGATGCCAGCAGCACGATTAGGGGAGTTGTTTGATACCATGGTGACCATGTGGAGACCGTAACTACTGCCCTGTTCTCTTTTAACATTTTATTTGTGATGTTTGGAACATTCAGGCATGCATGCCATGCAATTCAAATAATACACAACAGGAAGTTTCTACACAGTTACAACAAACCAAAAGCAAACTAAGCAATGTGCTTATCATAAAAAGTATCTATATATACCAAACATTTGTTAATCTTGCCTAGTTACAAATCTTCCTATTTCTCCCACATCATGAAGAACACACGTTCCTTGCTCCAGTCATTGGAGCGCAAGAGACAAATACAGATTTCTGTGTGGCAGAGCTCACAGGAGGGAACTGAATTTTTCTCCCTCCCCAGCTACTGAAACACCATTAGCTACACATTAGAAAAGAAAGGACAAATTTAGACTTTTAACTGGATCTGACTCATGCTCTTGAACAGCCTGATAAAGCCAACAGGGAAATATATAGTATGTCCTTTACTAGTACTGTATGTGTAATGCCAAAATAAGAATACATTTTTTTCACTGTACCTGATGGATATTAGTGATCTCTCCTATGGAAAATTAGCTCTGGCTACTTCTTTTCTAGTTTGTTCAAGTAGCTTCTTAGCTAACATTCTTCCTCTGGTTTGTTACTTGCATGGAAGTCATTATTCTGGCAGCTATAAAATAGCTTCCACAGAAAAGGTTTTATTTAACAGCAGTGACTCTGGACCAAACCAGTCATTCAGTCAACAAATAAAAGAGGTTTTCCTGCTGCTGCAAGTTAAGCTGAGCATGTTTTGTTCTGCCGATGCCAAAGATGAAGGAAGAAAAATGCCTGAAATCTGTGTTTCTAGTCCCTCCAATCAGATTTTCATCCCTCAAGATCCAAATGTTTTAATATGGAATTCTGGGAACGTCTCCGTGCCTCTCCCTTTCAAGGAGCAGGCAAAAGTGTCCAGTAGTATGTTCAGTGTGCAATATCACCTCATACTGACAATCCATGAAGGGGTTTTTTTCATTTTGGTTTGCCTTCTAAAGGTTCCCTGCCTTTTGGCCGCCTGCTTGGCAGTTCACTGCACTCTGGCTCCCACACTGCTGCATGTTTACATAGCCTCTTCTCCTCTGCACTCCACAAGGATGGGGTCCTTCTAGGCTCCCACCTCCTCCCACAGAACAATGCATTCATTCCCAATGCTTGTTCACCCACAAATCCACACTGTGCCAGGCTGTACCTCACTTCTGATCTGCCCGGCTGTGTCCGGCCTCTTCACCCTCTTGCAGCAGCACGGCTCCTGTTTGAGGTTGCTTTGAGAAGCTCTCGGTGCTCTGCATCTTGGTGATGCAGCCAACAAAACTGGAATTAATTTCCCTCTAAAGCACTAGGCCATTTTTACAGCTTAAGCCCCCTCTTTGATTTGTACCATAATATCTCCTTTATGGATGAAAGAACAGAACAAAGAAATGAAAAATCTGGAACGACACTTGGCTTCCCCCGCCAATTTTGCAAAACCAGTGTAACTAAAGCTGCAAGCTAAGGGAAAGGGATCATGGCTCAGAATGGAAACTTGTGACACTGATATGCCTGCAGTCAAAGAGAAGCACATCAAGGGCACAGAGGAGGAGGGAAGAAGGAAAGATGAGCAGACAGCAAACCACTTGTTAACCTGGCTACACCACGTCGTTTTCTTGAGGGTCCGGAGCCACAAGAGAGGATGTGCAGTCTCTCTTCTCTTCTTGAAGACAAAGACCTTGGCTCTCTTGTTTCCAGTAGGTTTTACCATCAGCTCCTAACTGCACTGCTCCACTGGCCACCAGCTGCAGGGCGATGGGAAAAGCCCGACACTCAGCTTCTTTAACCCTTTCTGACAGCATCTCCTCGGTGTCATCTGCCTTCACAGATACTGGCTCCTGGTGGATCATTGCTTTCGGACTAGATTCCTCCTGAAATGGGGATATTGGGAATCTTTTAGAAGAGGCTGGTGAACAGTCTTGGGAAGGTTATGAACAATGTGGACAGGGCAGAAAAAAATCTCATGAGAGATCTCCGCATGCATGTATGTAGTTGTGCGCAGGAAGCCTGAAGTACACCTAGAGAGGCTTGCACCTCCATTAGGGGTACCTACATTACACCAGGGGGTACAGCAGGAAGCGAGACACGGGCTAGAAGATTGAGAGGGCAGTTTGCTGAGAGTAGGAGAAACTGAAAAAACCCCAAACCATAATATGAAGGAAGAAGACAGGACCTCAATAAACCACAAACACAATGTAACCCCCACATCTTCCGGTTTTTACTGGTAGCAATCCTAAGATTTCCACACATTCCTGTTACCTCTTCCTGTTTCTGCCTTCAGAAAGAAAAGAAAACAGCAAATTCCGTGTCCTGGTCTTGTCTGGAATGGAGTTAATTTTCTTTAATTTATATTTTCTTTAATTTAAATTAGAGTTAATTTTCTTCCCAGTAGCTGGCGCAGTGCTGTGTTTTGGCTTTAGTCTGAGTACAGTGCTGATTGATAACACAGAGATGTTTTAGTTGTTGTTCAGTGCTCTTACCCTGACCAAGGACTTTTCAGTCTCTCATGCTCTGCCACTGAGGAGGGACACAAGAAGCTGGGAGGAAGCAGAGACAGGACACCTGACCCAAACTGGCCAAAGGGGTATTCCATACCACAGCACGTCATGCCCAGTATAGAAACTGGGGGGGGACTGATAAACCAGAAGGGACCGATGGCTGCTCAGGTTCGGCTGGGTATCAGTTTTCTGGGCGGTGAGCAATTGTATTGTGCATCACGTGGACTTTTTTTGGGGGGTGGGGTTTATTCCTTCCTCTCTCTTTCCTATCATTATTATTATTATTATATTTTACTTTTATTTCAATTATTAACCCATTCTTACCTTAGCCCCCAGGTTTTTACCTCTTTTTCTTCTCCTCCCCATCGCACTCGGGATGGGCTGGGGGAGTGAGCAAGTGACTGCATGGTACTTAGTTGCCAGCTGGGCTTAAACCATGACATTCCTTTTCATAACTTACTCAATGTTGGGCAAGAGGACACTTACCAGGACAAAATGCACGGTGCAGCCCGTGACTTTCAGTCCACTTTGCAGAGCTTGCTGATGGGCATTTCTGTTCTTTATCGGTGGGAAAAGTGATGGGGAAGCATTCAAAATTTTCCCTGGGCATCAGTATCAGAGGAGAAAAAGAGGGGAAAAAAAAATCAATTTGAACTGAATTTCCTTTAAAAATAAAAGTGAGATGTGATCATCAGTTCAGAATAGCAGCACTGAGCACCACTCGGGAGTTTACATGGTCTCAACTGCCATCAGAATGTAACAGGGCATGTTCAGATTCAGGTTAAAAAGCCAAACATACACATGGTGTGATGATCTCTAAGGCAATCTGAGAAAGCACTGCTCTGATCTGAGGAAATCGTGCTCTCCCAGGAACACAGGTGATGCTGTGCAGGCTTTGGCAGTAGCCAGGCAAGCATTTTTCAGTTAGTGACAACGACTTCACTTGCTTTTGTGTCTGTGGATGGCCAGACTGAGTGGTAAGTCTCTCCTTCACCAGGTGACCGGCCCTCATGCTGCAGAAGAGGGGCTTGGAAGTGAAGGATTTCACACTGTAGCCTCACGCAGAGACACTGCACAGATGGAAGTAATTTTCATAGGAAACATAATTCCCAAAGAAGCCTGTCCAAATGCAATCCACACAGTGAGAGAGTAACTTCTGAGCAAAGCCTTGGGAGCTGACACAAGGCACCCAGAGCCAAGAGGAAAGAGGAATGTGTGTTTTTCCCCTCCGCTGGCTTGGAATGTGTCTAAAGAAAGCTCTGCCCCATGGCAGAGCCACACTTGCTCAGGGGGCTGTAAGGCTGTGTTTGCAGCACACAGTACAGAGTGATGCTATGATGTGCAGTCATCAGGGCAGCACAGGAGGGAGATGAACTGAGAGATCAGACTCTCTCCCACTTGTTCCTGAGTGACAACTGCAGGGAGTAAGTTCAGCACAAGTCCCCAGCACGGCTCCCTGATGAATGACATGGTTATGCTACTGTCCCCTACTGCAGACAGAACCAAACTCCTGCCTGTCCACAGGCATTTCTCCTTCCCAGAAGGAAGGCAGACAGACCAAATCCGTGACCCTGACTTTGCCCCTCTGTTCCTCATTATGCCAGCACAAAGCATTTCTTTGCACAGTCAGAATCCCAGCACAGTCCCACTGGCCAGAAAAAATGGAAGTATAGGGCAGACCCACTGATTAACATGCAAACCTCAGTGTCAGCAAGGCCATGAGAGATTTAACCAAAGGACAAAGAACTATGACTGTGTCATTCTGGTGAGAGCAGGCATACACATTTTAATTTCTTTTTTGCATTTCTAATTTCTTACCTTTCCATTTTCTGAGAAAAGGACTGGACAAAATTCTCATAAATCCTGAGAGACATACTAGTTCAACAGCAAATTCTTCAAGAACTTGGTCAATTGTGCTGTCAAATTCAGAGCGACTCCCATATAACTTATGATCAATCACCTAAAACATTAAAACACATCAAAAAACATATTAAGGAAATAACCTCATGTGAATGAGAGCAGCTTGGGCAACAAGGGAAAGCAAACTGCATTTATTCCAGGGCATTTGAGGATTTAAAAAGTTATAAGTAGGTACATTATTCAGGACATTGTGATTTTTCACATTCATATAAACATTCCTGGGAACACCAGGAACACTTGCTAGCTGACACTGGCTGTATCCCACAGGGTGCTTTCTAGGACATGTACCAAAACTGCACAAACAGAAGCCAACTGTGAAAAGAGAAACATGTGGGTAACGTGGTATAGAGGGAAATAAGGCAGAACACATTGGTAGATACTGACCTCTTATTCCAGAATGTCTAGCCAAAGGCTAAAGTAAAAATAGTAATGACTCACTGGGATCACCATCACCAGTTAGTCTGTAGTGGCTCACTGAAAAGTGCAAACTCATCTAAAAAGACAACACACGGGCCAGACATTCTGTGTAAGAGGAGGAGAAGTCAGGAACTTTTCTTATGTCTACTCCACCTCAGCGTCTACTCCACCTCAGCGTCAGCTCCCAAGGTAACTACTGATTCCTGACTCTGTTCATGAGGACATTCAAATAAGGGGCTAACAATCTGTCACGCTTTTGCCTATGAAAATGTGAATGGATTTTGACATAATGTAACTCTTTTTTTTCCCTAGAGATGAGTCTTTATATTGCTAGAAAAAAATTATCATGAATCCAGCTCAGCTGTTGAGGAAGCTTGCTGAAAACTTTTTAATGCATGGGAGCTTCTATTTCCATCTGTGCATAGCTGTACAAACATGATGACTGTTCAGATTTATTTAACATTAGAAAGAAGAGTGCTGGTGGGTGGCATTTGAAATCCCAAATTGGTGAATGTTTTCAAAAGCCATGTTCTATGCTTAGACAAACACAATGACATGAATGCAGCCCCTTTCTAGATTTCTTTTTATGAAACAAACCAGTGAAAATTTCTGTAAAATACTGCTACTGTACTGACCACAGGCAGAGAAAATATGAGTATGGTGCCACTGAAAGTGACTGAGCACAACCTGAGACTAAGGTCTTTTCTAAGAAGGGATTAGCCAAGGAGAAAACATGCTTATGTGTTTTACAGAGCCTCAAGTTTTACTGATTTCAGTTAAAGCTTGAACCTGCACAGGCTACAGTCTCAGACCCAAATCATCATAGCACTTGCAGTTTTAAGTCCATTCCTAACTCTGGACTGTAGCACTCACTGAAGAGATGGGAAAGACTCACAGCCTCCAGTGAGCACTGGACAGCTTTCAGCTCTGCCTCTACTGGTAATTTCAACAGCTTTCTGCTACATCCACTCACCCTCAGTGAAAGTTTTAAACAGAAGTGAAACATGAAACATAAAAAGGAAAGGAAAAGAGTGTCTTTACCCTGGTGGGAATTCCAGCACGGGCTGCATTTCGCAGTTCTTCAACACCAGACTTGTTGGAGATGACAAGGACAACTTGAGCGCAACTGCCTGGCTCTTTTGCATAACTGATGAGTGCAGCAAGATTTGTGCCTCAAATGGAGAGAGCAAACATCATGAAGTAGATGAGCACCTGTGTCACTGACAATTGGCTCTCAGTCCCGTCTATCTAACAAAAATCTGTTTCCAACAACTGCACAAATAGAAGAGGACTAAGGAATTTGTGCATTCATAAAGCTCATGTTTAAGCAGTACAATAAAACTTCTTGACTTCTAGTCAAAACACAGCCTTGGTTTTAGATGGCGCCATAGGCTCTACTCAAAACAAGCAAGGTGGATGCACTTTCATCAGGGCTGATTCCGCAACTCCTTTGTAAGGACATTTATCTCTGTGATGATAAATGAAAGCTCACCTGTTCCAGAGATGAGAACAGCTACTTTAACTTTGTTCTTTCTGGATTGGTGTTGACTCTCACCAACAGCATTATTCAGCAGATGCTGGGGGCTGCTCAGCTGCAGAGCTTCTAGAAGATTCTCGACTTCGACGTGAGAACCTTCTCCAGATATGTGAGGAAAATGTTAAAATACCTTGGATTTTTTTTTCTCCATCTAAATTTACTTTGGATAGTTTATTAATCATACAAATTCCAAATAAAGAAAACCTAACAGCAGTGAATTTATGTTAGCACTAACTCAACTACAAAAACATGTACTACTTGAACAAACCAACGCACACTAGTTGTACTGATCTCTTTTGTGTTACTCGCAGGATTGTGTACCTGTCTTCCTATTTCTTTTGTGTTGCAAAATCACACTAAAAATAATGTTGCATTTTGGCTGCCCAAACTGCTCCCCCAACAAAGCTGTTTGGTTTTCAGAGGGATTTTGGCTCATGTCTTGCTGCATGTCAATCAATGGGCACACCAGAATGAAGACTTACAGTCACATACACTATACACAGCTGTGGCCTATCCTCAATCTTTACACAGGATCAGTGTGAGTAAGGAATGGGTCGCAAAGGAGGTGGGTTGATCACCATGACTGTGGTAAAATACAACCACCTAATGTCTGAGTCCTTACCGTCATCAGAAGGATTTACTCAAGTCTCAAGCAGGTACCTAGGTAAGACATTATTCAGAGTACTGTGACTCTGAAAACAAGACATTCACTTCTCACTGTATTTAATAATGAAATCTAGATGTGAAGGTGTCAAGCAGCCTCCAGCCTAGTGAAACCACAGGAAAAAGATGTAAACTACACAAACTTTGCAACAGGGAGTCTCCTCAGTGCCTAGAAAACTGATGGCAACTGGTGCCTCCCAGGAGATGTTCAGCACTTCACAGCTTTACAATCTAAAAAAACTTATCCTGTACCAGCTTAAAAAATAAACAGCACAGCCTTAAGTGGAAACCTCTCTGAAGTGAGACCAGGTGAATCTGTTACACTTTGAATCAAAGCATGCTCTGTTTATTTTTTGTGAGTGTCTTCCTTTCCCATTAGGATACCTGCTAACCTGTATCACAAGGGGCAACAACTTTCCCAATCAGCCAGGCTTCCTCATGTCGCTGTAGGTCCTTGAGCACATGCTGAGCCAGGTCCTTCTGCACAACCAACACTGCAGCAATCCCACAATTAAATGTCTGAGCCATCTCCTCCACAGAGAGATTTCCCTCTCTGTAAAGCCAGCAAAAGATTTCCGGAATCTTCCAGCTGAAAGCATCTGAAAATGATTGAAATGTGTATATGGTCACCAAAAATGTTTACTATTTGTCTTTTATTACATATATAGTGACAGTGGTGTATTAGAAGAGCTGATAGAGACTAATTCTTGCTATTCTAAGAATACTGTCCAAGGAGGACTCTGGCCCAACTTCCAGTCAAATTTATAGGTGCTGCTTAGCTAGAGGTTTCTAGCCATAATTTGTGTGAGGCAAGTCTTCTATAGGCTTTCTAACAAGAACATTTACAAAATGATGGCGAGTTAAAATGTATTCACCCCTCATCAACCAGAATAAAAAAGCTACAGATGACTTACATCTCTTCCGTAAGAGATAAAGGAGCCATGGGCCAAATCATCTTCTGGTTTTTTAGACTACTTAATCAGATCCTGGTTTTCTGTTTCAAACAATCAATAACTAGTATAAGAGTCTATACTTAGTTGTATTGATGGGCAGACTGGATCAGGGCTGAGTGTTCTACAAATGCATGGAAAGCACAGATAGGCTTTGACACTGATCCTACTCACACAGGCATGGCCTTAGGTTGTCTGTTGAAAGTTTGGTGGTGCAGACTTGACATCGTGACTTCACTTTAGGAAACTAACAATCCCTTGGGCTTGTTATCTTCTCTGTGGCTCCAGGCACTGGCAAGCAAGCTAGGCATCACCTTGCCAGGTGGGTTTACTTCTTTCCTTTCTAATTTCATTTTCAAGAAATACAGACAGACATACAGGCCCATTCCTTCCCCCTTCCCCCTCTCCACAATATTTTTGGACTTGCATGGATATAGTTTTCTTTAATATTTTGAACTTTTTAATACTTTGCCCAATTTCACCTTCAACAGAAAAAATTCTAGCTTACTTACACATGTCAAATGCTAATCTGTTGTGGGGAAGCTACCACCTACCACAAAACTGCATTAAATGTGTGTGTGCCTGTGTGTGTGTGTATAGTAAATCATGCAAATTAATTCTCTCAACAAGCTTCCCTGTATGGTCGAAGTGTTTAGTATGGAGACATATCTTGCAGAACAATCAGTCTTCTCAAACACCTGTTGTCCTAGAGATGAGCTGCCTTCAAACTCACCTTAAATTTCCCTTCTCTAACAGGAGACTGGTGCTCATCAAGTGCTGATGCTTACTTGCCATAGGAATACTTTTGGTAGGTTCTTTGGAAAAGCAATGACTGGGTCATTCAGTCTCCAACTACATAGACATATACATTTCTGAGTATCTCTATAACTGAAGCTGAAAAGTCAAGTCCATGCTATATATAAACTTCGTCAAACAGATACAGTCATCTTTGATATTTACCTAGGACAGCGCTGACATGTTCTGGCAGAATTCTGGAGATGCCTTCCAGCAACCCCTCCTCGGCAATGAAGGCAAAAGCCTTCACGTGCCCTGAGCGAAGGACAGGCAGCAAAGATGGACTGTACATTTTTGCTGGGGTCAGCAGTATATCTCCTGCAAACAAAAGTGTCAATTCAATCAATTTGTTTAGAAGGTCATTAGGTATTTAGTGGGAATGCTTCTCTGAACAGGTTCTCTTCTGCTCTTTGTGGCAGACAATGTTGGGAAGTAGCAAAAAGTGCTGGCCTGCTTTTCCAAAACTGTAGACACAAGCCCACATACCTACCCAAAACTCAGCTATCCTGAAGTAAACAACCCTTGGCGGCACCTAGTTATGGAAATGTCTGAAGACAATTCATTTGCAGGTTTGCTTTTGAGAAGAAAGATATTGTACCTAGAGTCTTGTCACCACAACTGCCGGGTGCTGGTGAGGAGTAGTGTAAGGAGGACATTAAGAGAATCTTCCTTATGATGCTAAAGCCACGGCCGTGAATCCCAGAAGAGGCCAGACCAATAAGCACATCCTCCTCCTCAGCTCTTTGTAGCCCCAGAAGCATCTGCCCTCGCTCCACTGCACCAACAACAAAGCCAGCCAGGTCATACTCTCCAGAAGAATACATGCCAGTCACCTCAGTTATCTCCCTGCCTAAGAGGGGGGAGAGAAAGCAGACAGCACTACCTATTAGTATGTTTTATTGTTAATTTTAACTCTACAGAATCTCCTAAAATAAGGAATGTATCCAGGACAGTTGCAGAGACACACTGCCTAAGAAATGCATTCGGATATATTTTAAAAATCCTTCTTAGTTTCTTACTTCATCTCAAGACTTTAACAAAACAAAGCTTCATGAAGTTATTAAAAGAAGAAACTTTTTTATTATTATTTCATGCTACTCATCTGGCATCTCCCTGCTATGTCTGAGTATCAGACAGGGAATGAAAACATATTAACACTTCAACAATGTGAGGCATCCAGCTTTGTTCTCCCTTGTACAAGGATATATGAGCAAGAATTAGAATCCAAATGCATGAATAGTAAAAATCATCCCTCTGTACTGATCCATTTTACAGATAAGGAAGAGTTTAAGCCCAAATGCTTGACTGTTTTTCCCACCAAACAGAAACCAGCAGTTCTAATGCCACATACTGTCCCTGCCTACAAAGCCTGTTTCATTAGTAATCATTTTAACATCAGAATCTTCAAATCTCAAAGGAAAGGAGCGTTCATACCCAGGAAAGCACATCCTGCATTTCTGCAACCTTCAGCTATTCCTTCTTTGATTGTTTCAGTCACTTCAGCATCAAGTTTGCCACAGGCAAGATAACTGAGGAAGAAGAGAGGCTCTGCTCCTTGAGCCAGGATGTCATTGACACACATGGCAACCAAATCCTGACCTATGGTGTCATGTCTTTTACATACTTGTGCAATCTGCAAAACATGGTGGGAACCAGCAGTGGTGACAAGAAATATGCAAAACTCCGATATTAATCAGCCAAATAAGCAGAAACCTTTTCCCTGAAAAGAATCACTATAGAACATACATGCAGAAAACAACCTGGTACATCATCTAGTTTAAATCAAGAGAAAATAGCTCACTTTTTGCAGAGGAAAGATAAAGTTATTTTGGTTTTTTTTTTAAAAAAACATTAATTCAAATTCTAGCTCCAGCTACCCAGAAATTGTAATTTTGGGTTGTTCGTTCATTTGCTTTTTGGAATATTTATGTCAAATCCAGATAAGAGGTGTCTAAACACAATTACAAATTCCCAGGATATTCAACCTACAGAACATCCTAGCAACTTCAGAACATAAGATCAGGTTGCTAAAACATCACTGTGTGTTTTGCTTTACTTCTGCCTACTAATTTCACTGGGTTACGCAGCAAAACTGAAACAATTTTTTTAAGTAGTTTTCTTAACAGTCCACAGGGAACAAGACTCTTCACTCCCACAATTCCCAAGGAAATTTTTGATCTCAACCAACTCATGTCACAGACAACAACATGGGCCTGGTCTGTAGGTGCCTTCGAAAGACAGGTCTTTCACAGAGCAGTAATATTTCCCTCAGGAAGGCTGTGATTTGGTTTTTATAAAGTTATCAAGGTGTTCGCATCCTACAAGTGATGAAACCTCATTCAGACATCATGGCTTCTATAAAGTGGAAACATTTACACTACTTTATTACAAGCAGAAGTTTCTATACTAGAGCAATTCTGCTTGTAGATGCACAGCACCAGCCCACGCTGTGCAATTCACCTCTTTCAGTTACCATTTCAGGGTCTGAAAAAGGACAAAGACTGCAAATGTATGGATAAATTTTAAAGGTAATTACCTCTTACTGACAAAGCTCTACCAGTGTAGTTACACCTGTGCAGAAAAATCCACTACAGAAAGATGGGCAAGGGAAAAATGCAGATACATGCTATCACTGACTTCAAAATGGTAACAGATCAGCACCAAAACAGTCTGAGTTTGGACTGCAAGCCTGGTTTCTTTCACTGGCTAGATTTAGATTTAGAAGTGCTATGGAAACCAGTCATCCCGTCTCCTTTGTTGCATTATGGCATCTCCCTCCCACTGATCTAGTAACAATTTGTATAGGCATCAGCCAACTTTTTTTGGCCAAGGAAGAGTCTTGGGAACAGTCTGTGTAAGCACAGTTGGGAATGTTTCTCTGCCAAGCAGTTGGAACAAAGACTCACAAGAGCCAGCACCAATCATTTTTCCACGCTCAGAGGTGTCCAAGGATGTAAGACTGCAAAAGACCTTCTGGATTATTATGTTCAGTCTCTTGCTGTTGCAGGAAGCCACACCACATCATCCGGTTACTAAAGGTATAAACAACAACTTGAAACAAGACAAATTGCTGTGCTTGACCAGTGAAAGGCAGCCTCAGACCTCCACGTCTCTGATGAGTGAAATCCTTATTCTGCTTCAACATAGAAATATATTCCTGACTCAACTTATCCTATGTGTTTTGTGTAATTAGCATTCTTTATCTATTGGCTTCTCTTCTCCTTTAATGTTTATTTCCATCCTCTTTTCCCCAGTGCCTTGACAAAGGCAATTGTGCCACTTCTCTGTATATGGTTTATTAAGCTGACAGTTACCATTTTAACTCTCCCCTGTACTCCTTTGAACTGATCTTTCTCGAAGCCAATGGGCCCTCTGTTTTAAAGCAGAAATTCTGTTCCTTAATTCCTCAAGTGCATAGCTAATTTTTTTGTTTTATTATCATTTCATCACAACATATCCAGAGCCTCATATTCTCAGTAAGATATGCACAGGCCTTGCTCAATTATCTACAAAGCTCAAATGACCATTGTGGAGAACTTGAGACATAGTTATAATGCTTGGAAGGTTCAGATGGTGCAATTGGCTGTGTTGTTTAAAACAGTCTTGAGAGATAACAGGCTACAGTCAAATTGCGAGTTACCTGCAGTTTAGGTCCAAGGCCTTTGGTTTGAGATACCAAGATAGGATCCTCATAACCACATGCTTTCAAGTCAAAGAAACCGGCAATGCCTCCTACTTCTGAATGACAGCCTGCCACATACAAATATATCAAGGATCATTTTAAGGGAAATAAAAAGACCCAAAACACTCCCCCAAGACAAAGTGCAGCAAATTATGATTTCCTGGAGAAAACAGCACTGTGTCCACTGACAGAAACACGCACAGCTTTATGAGGCATGGACCCCAAAGTCACATATTTCATGGTGCTATAAGTAGATCTTTATTATTATGTATTTCTGACCTATGGATTTGGCCCAGCAAAAGTTAAGCATTTTACCAAACAGTTAACAGCTCACCTTTTTTCTTTATGTAGTTACTTTATTCTAAGGGGAAAAAAATCAACAAGATTTTTTCCTCAGTAGATCAGTGCTAAGAGGAAAGGACATAGTCTGAAGAGCAAATAACATGTTCAGTGATTGTCAGACACACCCTAATAACTGTTTGGATGTTGTACTTGTATATGCAGTCAACAGGATCACTTCTGTCCACTGACAGATTCCATTCCATTAATCCAGGAGTTATTCTGTTCCCTAGATTAACGTTGAGAAAGTGCAGTCATCTCCATGGTAAGCCAATTACTTTTTAACTAAGTAAAACAGAAGTGATGAGAAAGAAGTGAGAGTTTTCTTCATGGTGACCCCAGCCCAGTTTGTCGAGCTCAAGTTTCAATGCCAAGAATGCATTGCTCACCTCCTGGGGAAAAAAAGTTCTGTTCCATTCAATGTATCATAGAAATGCAAAGACTCTTCCCAGTCTTACCTGATCTGGTACCACTTACAACTGATGTTTCCAGCTGATGAAACAAAACATCACTGGTTACAGCTTCCATATGTCTCTCCTTGTATATTAGACCCCTGTAGAGAGTAAAGGACACGCTAGGAGCAGTAGTGATATTTTCTGCATAGATCGTCATTAAGCACACAAATGGGAACAGATATAAAACTTTGGACTAGCATCTATTTCTGCTAGTGCCTTTGCTTACATACAGAGACTGCTTGAGAAGCTGTATACCCCGATGGCCAATGTCCTTCCTGTAAGTGGCACCCTTAAAACGTATGGCTGTTACGCCCCTGTTGGCTTCTCCCAGTGCTTTCATCAGGTCCTCCTTAACAGCAGTAATGGAGAGGACTCTGCCACCACTTGTCACCACTCTGCCATCCTTCAGCGTTGTGCCAGCATGGAACACCTGCAGCCCTAACTCTTTGGCTTGCAGCAGCCCTACAAAAGCAAAAGGAATTCTCTGAGTATTTTTAAATCACATACCATATTGGCAAAGCAGCAAAGATTGAGGTCTTTTTTTCAGACAAGGGAGAACAACAATGAAGTTTCCCACGTTAACTTCCCTCTGAGAAACAGCATTACCGGTGAAGAGTATCCCACTCCACTTGACCCTAAGACTCCCTTCTGAGACATCCAGTAATGACACAGATGATATAGAAACAGAAATAAGAGATCCAGGAGCCACAACAGGACATATAACTACCCTGCAGCAGAGCAAAGCTGTGCTGTATATTGTAATTGTGAGTAATTTGTGTAGAGCTTTCCTGCATAAAATCACAGTTTACTGCCTGGGTTCCTCCCTCTCCATGACATTAAATCATTAAGGCTAATGTTACCTCAGCACTTCCCTAGCTATTCTGCAGTGCCCACTCCACACAATTCCACACCTGGAATCTATGCTCTACAGACACTTGCAGGTGGCTGTCCAATAGATAAAATAATTAACGTATGTTCTTTTCATTTTTCTCCATATATTTTCCTGTTAAGAGGGCAGCAAAATTGTTCAGGGGGTTTTCAGTTTCGTATTTGAAGGAGAGGATAAGGGAAAAAGAGGAACTGCTGCCATCACCTGGAAAAAGCAAAACAAAGCAGTTTCCCCCTTGCTATCAGCCAGATAGATTTTATAAGTGAGCAAAAAGGACCTTTATACTTGCTGAAAGTACAGCGTGTTACATTGCCACAGCACAGCCCTGACAAGGTCAAAGCTGAGCCCCAGCTGCCTTGCAGCAATGGAAACCTAACTCCTTCCCATCATGCTTTAAGCAATACTCCAGAATAAAATGTTCGTTAAGCCATTAAAATGTGGCAATCAACGTGAAATATACGGAAAAAATAATAAAACCCACACAACTCCAGAGGTTGAAGTATAATAATAAATAAATGGACTGAATTTCATTGTTTCGACTGGGTTTTTTTGTGATTAACAAGCAGGGAGGTCATATCATCTCATTCCTAAAGATATGAATATCAACTTGGAAAAAGTTAAGTTCCTGAGTCAGACTAGTGAACGGTAGCTCAGTAGCAGAAGGATTCATTCAGTTATGTGGTATGGACTTTTACAGTTAGAGAAATGCAGAGTTCCCCAGAATATCACTGACAACAAATAAATACAACAAGGGAATTAGAAGAGGAGAGGGGATGAAGAGAATGTGACAACAGAAATCTCAACAAGGGAAAAAGCAGTATAACATGACCTTCTCCCTGGGTGATGTTGGGTAACTGGAATTATGATGAAAATAAGGCGGCCCAGATCAGTTGTCTGGGTTGCTTTACACAGGGCACAGTGTTGGACTGGCAAGGCAGTAGCTGAGGATGAAGGAAATAATAGTTCTGCAACAGTTCCCTCTGTTTTTCAACATTTAAAAAATCTTAATGAGATATTTCCTGAGTTCAGCTATAGCAGTCATTTCTTCTCCTTCTTAGTAGCTGGTGCAGGGCTGTGTTTTTGACTTTCAGCCTGGGAACAACGCTGATGATAACACCGATGTTTTTAGTTGTTGCTCAGTAATGTTTACTCTGACCGAGGACCTTCTCAGTCTCATGCTCTGCCAGGGAGGAGGGGAAGCCGGGAGGAAGCAGAGACAGGACACCTGACCCAAACTGGCCAAAGGGGTATTCCATACCACAGCACGTCATGCCCAGTATAGAAACTGGGGGGAGTTACCCGGAAGGCCCAGATCGCTGCTCGGGTCGGGCTGGGTATCGGTCGGTGGATGATGAGCGGTTGTGTCCTCTCCCCTTGTTATTTCCCTTATCATTATTATTGGTAGCAGTAGTGGTTTGTATTATACCTTAGTTACTGGAGTGCTTTTATCTCAACCCGTGGGAATTACATTCCTCCGATTCTCCTCCCCATCCCTCTGGGAGCGGGGGGAGGAAGGAAGTGGGGGGAGTGAGCGAGCGGCTGCGCGGTTCCAAGTTGCCAGCTGTGCTTGAACCACAAGAAGATATTAAAACCCAATAATTTTAACACATAAAATGAATATTGATCTAAAGCCCACAAGCCCACCTTTCCAAACCCTTCAGCCCCGTGAAGAGGTTGTTATTACTATTACACAGCAATGACCCTGGCTGGCTTGCACAAGGGAAGGAACCACGCTGATGACGGGGGAATGCACTGCTCCGATTTTAAAGGCCACAGGTCCTCAAGGCTCACCCTTATCACTCGTCAGGCATTAGCTAAGATAGTGCGACCTGCTGGCAAGAGAGCAAAGCTAGGAAAAAGCAGTCATGTGCTTACAACATTGCAGCCCATGTTTCTAGCAGTTTGCGGAAGTACTCCACGTGGACACACTGGAGTTGTTCCAGGAGGACATAATTCCCCATCAACTTCTTATGGCAGTAACCAGCTACAGAGAGAGCTTTATGGAATAATGTAACTTTAAACATTTAGCCCCTGAGCTAAATGTATGGACAGGCATATGCTCCATTCACAAGATCTTGCTGAACAGCTATCACTTCCACAAGGACGAGGAGTGATGCATCGAAGCAGACTCTGGTAGGGTGTGAGGGGTGGGATGGAAGAAAGCTGTACAGGTATCTGGGAGAAGATTGCAAACCTACTGAAGTACTACTGCCGTTACCTGTTACCTCCATGCCTTTGTCATAGTCTCCCGGGTATCCCGGACTTGCCATGACCACACACACAGCTGTACTATTTTCTGACCAGGCTGGCATGAAGCTGCAGAGTTTGCCATCAATTATTGCTTGAATCACTTCATAAAAATCATTTTTAAGCAGTGGGAGAATTACCTGCAAAAAAGTTCCATTGTGATAGAAGTTAATTTTTATTTTGCTGACTTGCTGAAATTCAATTAATAGAGTAAACTGTACCTGCCAAACTGAAAATACTTTATTTATCTACACCAGTAAATTTGGAATGCTACAGGTGAGCATTAATTTGCAGCATCTTTTTGCAAAAGCCATAAATTTACAAACGTAAGATGTGAGATTATGTAGAAGGAACATGAATTTAGGTCCCTCCCATTCTGCTTCTATCCAGAAAAATAAAAACTGAGGAACAGCTCTTCAAGTTACAGTCTTTAACTAATAATTCCCAGAAGCTGACTAACCACAATTTTAAGTCACCTCATACATTGTCTAGGACATTCACATTCAGATCTGCACTTTCAGGGGAAGCAAGATACAAATTCAGACATGGCACACATCTCCCTAGTTCCCTGAGCTAGAACACTCAGAAGTAAAAGAATGAAGCATATTGAAGCTGCTGGTATCTTTTACTCACCTGGCACTGAGGGTCACCAAACTGACACTTAAAGTTTAAAATTTTCAAACCATCTTTGGTAAGCATTAAACCTGTTTGCAGCACACCTGAACAGAAAGAACACAGCCAAGCAAATTAATTTCAACACTTCTTTTTCAAGAATTCCTTTAAATTAAATATAAAAGGTTGCCCAGCGAGATGGTGGACATACCATCCTGGAGACATTCAAGGCCAGGCTGGGTGTGCTTCTGGTCAAACTGATCTAGCTGAAGATGTCCCTGCTTGTTGCAGGGGGGTTGGAATTAGATGACCTTTGAAGGTCCCTTCCGAACCAAACTATTCTATGATTCTACGAAATGTGACACAGTATTTTGGAATGTGGGATGCATTTCTACAAATCATAAGGAATCAGGAGCAAGGATTCTGCAGGCACTTATATGCAAGTCATAAAAATTCCACAATAACCAATGAAATGGGAAGCAGCAACCTGAGGAATATTCCATTGCATTTTGGACTAAATACAGCAGAAAGTAACCTCTCTGCATCAGAAAGTCGAGTTCTGCCTTCTGCTACAGCTCTCTAAATGCAGGCATTCAGACCTCAGAAGGAACTGACAGGATAAAAAAATCCCAGTTCCCATAAAATCCCATTCATTACACAGACCTTGTGATTTTCTTACCATTAAGTACACTATTGTTATGCATTAATATAGATGTATAACTCTGTATTTCAGGCAAAAATACTGAACCAGTAATTCAGTATTGCTGTTAACAAACAAAATCAAACAAAAATTTATTGAAGTTGGTATTGGGTAATTTCCACTGCAACACACATTTATGCATATGGTGATCTAAAGCAAGTCTTTCACTGTATAATCAGAAAACCAATTGCCAGAGAGTAACAAGTATTAGATTTTAAACTCCATAAAGCATCAGGTCCTCCACCATCATCATGAAAATGCTCAACACTCACTACATTCTTACTGCAGATTTGGGCATTGTAAAAAAGTTACCAATAAGCAGAGAACACATCACAGGCTGGAATATAACTCTCTGGATGCGTGTGATCTCAATAGTCCTCAGTCCCTCTTCAGTACCAAAAGCAGCCACTGGCTTTTAGTGACAGCTGTGAGCAACACCTGCCTTTTTCAAGACAGCCTAAAGACAAAGATCTTAAGAAAATTTACATTGCTGTTTATAGGAGTGAACAGTACAATTGAAGTATATATTATACCCTGAAATACAAAAGAGTTTGATTGCAACAATTTTAATAAAAAATATTTAATAAAAATGCAGTCTGTTTTATGGAGAAAAGACAGAAACTCTTCTCTACAAAGGAAGAGCTATAAAGTAAAACCAGTGAGGCTTAATACTGCAGGAAAAATTAACTTCTTTAAAAAAAAAATAATAATTTGGAATTCAATAGCAATCTCTAACAGTGAAACTAACCTTGGTATGACTTTGTTTTTCAGGTGAATGCTTACTTACCTACATATGCTGTTCCTTCTTGTCTCATACTATCAACAACGTGTTGAAGGATAGCGTCATTGATTTTCTGCAGAAGAACTTCTGGAACCTGATGATCAACATCAAACTGATTGAGACAGTGATGACTTTTGGTGAACTACCTCATAGGACCTGAAAGGACTGGGTGTCTTGGGTTCATCTACAGCAGTCATTTTTTTCTCCTTCTTAGTAGCTGGTGCAAGGCTGTGTTCTTGACTTTCAGCCTGGGAACAACGCTGATGATAACACCGATGTTTTTAGTTGTTGCTCAGTAATGTTTACTCTGACCAAGGACTTTCTCAGTCTCATGCTCTGCCAGGGAGGAGGGGAAGCCGGGAGGAAGCAGAGACAGGACACCTGACCCAAACTGGCCAAAGGGGTATTCCATACCACAGCACGTCATGCCCAGGATAGAAACTGGGGGGAGTCACCCGGAAGGCCCAGATCGCTGCTCGGGTCGGGCTGGGTATCGCTCAGCAGGTTGTGAGCAATTGTATCCTCTCCCCTTGTTATTTCCCTTATCATTATTATTATTGGTGGTAGCAGTAGTGGTTTGTATTATACCTTAGTTACTGGAGTGCTGTTATCTCAACCCGTGGGAGTTACATTCTTCCGATTCTCCTCCCCATCCCCTGGGGAGTGGGGGGAGGAAGAATGGGGGGAGTGAGCGAGCGGCTGCGTGGTTCCAAGTTACTGGCTGGGCTTAAACCACGACACTGGGGTAAGTGTGTGCTTCAGCTATGTTTTCATCTCTCCAACCCCAGCCACTGCACTCCTTCCATTAGGGTGCTGCTGTCTGAAGGACAACTACACTAACCCTCTGCCTCTCGATTTTTTGTTTGGTTCTTTCTCTAGAAAGCCTATTTTAAGGAGGTTTGAGACACAGGAAACCTAAGCTGTACACAGCAAGACTGTTTCTGTACTCTCAGCAAAAAAACACTAATAATATACTTGTGAAGCACATTTAGTCATATACAGTCAGCTTTAGGAATCAACAAGAAAAAAGACAAGTTTATGCTCAAGACACAAAGACTCCAGGCACTTGGGGAATTTTGCAGGGACATTTCAAGGGATGCTAATAGCAGCAGAGAAACACTGAGTTTAGGAATAATGAAAAAGTTCAGAGACAATTCCTCAGAATACTGGCTCACTAAATCCTGAAGAATGGCTAATAAAGTTTGAGCTCTGTATTGCTCTTATACAAGCAGTGTCAATCAGTTCCAGAAGAAATCTGGCCTATGTGACAGAAACAACATCGAGCCCTAAGGAAGATCTATTAACCACAGATGTGATCCTTACTGCAGGCTGACGAGAAGGACTGCTGTACCTGAGGAACTGGGCAATAAGCTCCCATCCCTCCAGTGTTTGGACCCTGATCGCCATCCAGTAATCGTTTGTGAGCCTGGGCTGGGGGCATTGAAGCAACAGTGACACCATCCGTGAAGCACAAGCACTGTTAAGAGATGCACACAACACAAAACAGTGACAATGTCCTGTCCTAAGAGAAGTTAACGCTGCTGGTCCACAGCCTGAGGCTCAGTTCTACCAGGAAAATTTAAGAATCAAAGATAGAAATCAATAGAATCAAAGACAGAAATCAATAGAATCCACTTGCAGCAAGATTCTACTGCAAGCCCACTGACCTGAAGGATTCATTGAGCTTTCTTTCCCATGTTTAAATAATCAAGAGAAACAGTAGCCCTCATAACAATTCCTTTCTTATTAATTAACTCTTGACCTATCAATCAGTCACGTGAACATACGCTTACCTTAAGGCACAGGAATGGTCTTCACTGACTGGACAGAATTATTCAGGTTTCAAGTTAAACCTGTGTGTTTGCAGATCTGAACTAGTGTAAGGTATTCTCAGTGCAGGACAAAACCGGCACAAAGAACTCATTTTCAGTTTTCATGTGGCATATAGTAAGCATGCATAAGTTTTATCCTGACACTGAGAGTAATCCAGGGTAAAGAAAGTGCTAACTAAAATAGGCACTAAATATCAGCACAAAGTTATTGCTGTAACAAGAATTACCAAGACAAAGTCCATGCAAACACATTTTCAGGTCACCTTGGGGAAAGAAAAAAGATCATTTTCAACCTAAAAAGATCATCATAATTGCAATTTTATGGCTAATGTAGAAGAAAATTCTACTGAGAACATGCATTGATTATTATGATATCAAGGTTCTTAGATTGCAGATTTATTTATATAAGTGCAAATAAAACAGAAAACCTATTTGAAACAATGAACTCATGCATTTATGCGTAGAGCATAGTAGCAATGCCAAAGAATAAAAGCACTTAACCACACCATCCATCACATACAGAAAGTTCTTCCCCTTGAAGAAGTTCTTCAACAACAACCATCTCTCCAAACAGTCTGTCCTGTACAAAAAAACAAATGTCTTCAGTTAGCAAACACGACACCTATTGGCTAAATCATTTCTTCGTTTTCTTTTAACAGAAAAAACCCCAAAACCAACATACAGGAAAAGTCTGGCTTGTTTGAATGGAATTTGAGGATGATACCCAGAGAAATTCTTGAGTTAAACAGGCAAGCTTCTCCTCTAAATACTTGCTTCCTGTGGCCAAAATTACAAATTTACAGGCTACATAAGATCAAGAATTGTATTTCCCACTGATTAATTAAAGATTTACCCACCTGCATAATCTCTTGGACAGCTCTGCAGGCTTCCTCTTTGCTGGCTGTAATAGTCACTTCTTTTCTAGCAGCAGGACCCCTTGCCCGTACTACTCGTGCAGGAAAGTCTGTGCTTTAAATGAAAGCAAAAATGAGATTCAGGCATCCCTATTGTATCCAATGAAATTATAATTTTTTAAGCTGAATGCCTCCTGTAGTCTTTCTTTTTTTCTGAATGGTTGAAAGCTAACATGTCAGAAAAACATGCTCCCTGCTAGCCCATCTTGTCATGGAGGTGAATGGACTTTCATAGCCCTCAGCACAGGACTGTGAACCAGAAATCCATGAATTCTGTTGCTGTTTCTGGCACCGGCTCAGTGCATATCCTTGGAGAAGTCACTGAACTTTAACACCTTGCAGTTTTTTCCTCTTTTCGCTGAGTTGGATTACTGTTTTATTCTTGTCATAGGTTTGGAAAGACAAACTCGTTGATGATTTATAGTTTTACAACACCAGATTACAATACATAATCCTATAAATCACTACGGAAGTCCTGTCAAGGGTTGGAAGGTTAAAGCTGAGTTAGGTCTTGCATGTAAAGGATATACTAGAACCAGTGTATTAACACTATCCCCAGAATTGCTCCACTTACTCTTAAACACAAACTAAATATAGAAGGAAAAGAAAGAACAAAAGCATGTAACGTTAAACATAGTTAAACTACACTTCATTCATTCTCCTCTCTTAGCTTGTGTTCGTTTTGAAGAGCTGATTCTACACACTACTAGCCTGTTTTCTGACCCAACATCTAATTCCTCTTTTCCACATCACTATTTATATTAGGATAAATCTCAACCCTAGATTGCTACAAGCAGCCAAAGCAGGCTCAGACAAGGCTCCTTTTCTCCACATCTCCCTGTGCTGACCTGAGACACAGTTTTCCTGTTTGAGTCTTATGAATGCTTACAGACATACAAGTTGTTGGCCTGCTTCTCTACCTGGCCCTAATATAGACTAAACATCATTACAGAGCAAAGTCAGTGAAAAGGTTGTTCTTACCAAAAAAAAAAAAAAGAAAAGTTTCCACTAGATTATACCACATGTAGCACATGACAGCAAAGACAGGAAGCCCCTGAAACCAACACACAGCCACAGACGAGTGTAGCTGAACACAGCAGCTGCTGTGAGACTGGACCAAAATAGCCACAGAGGTAAGTTACTTTCCCAAAGGATCCCCAGTGACTTCAGAGGTATTACTGCTCAAAACAATTGCAGAGATATGCAGTTACTTTTCTCTCTCCATGTAAGAGAGATGCTGTCAAGCCTTGAAGAAACAGGAGGATCCTCCTTAAGTTGTATTTGACCAGTACCTCCCAAATCACTCCACAGATAGCATTTTGCTAATATCTGTCTGTGTAGAAATGATTCTTACCCTTTCAGAAAGATGTATTGAAATATTTTTCTGTCACAATTTTTCTGTCTTTTAAAATGCTAACTAGCATCCTGAGGAAGCTGATGAAAGGGAAGAACTGTGACCTGTGAACGGAAAGATTAATCAGTTTAAGTTCCCCGCATCTTCACTGTCTGCCTCTAATTACAAAACTAATTCATACAGTAGCTACTTCAGAAGGAGAACAATTGAAAAGTTACCAAGTTCTAGGCAACTATGATGGGTGAAGGCCAAATGCATAGCTAACTTGACACAGGAGTTTCCAGTATCAAAATATTTACCTGATAATAAACCTACAAGCTTCCTGAGGATTGTTGAAGGCTTTCCATCTTGCTGTTGGGATCCTATGTCGATCCAGAAAGGTTTTGGCAAAAGTGGTGTTGGATGCCAGCTGGGCTGCTTTTGCAGATGGACCAAAACATCGAACTCCTGCTGCTCTCAAGTCATCAACAATCCCTGATTACCAAAAATAGCAAAAGAATCGAGTTGTCTTTTTGGAAACACCAAGTCATTTTGACAAAAGGAAAACCACATAACCATTCTGGCACACTGTTACACTTTTCCTTGTCCCAGAAGAGCTAACTCATCCTTGAAGTTCTGCATATCCAATGACTTCTTAAAAGTAAATAAAGCTTAAACTTTGGCTCTTTACATTACTAACCACCCCACAACTACTGTTAGGACTGTCTGGTACTTCTGTTCACTATTTAAGACATGTAGATCTTACTGCAGCACAATAAATGCAAGTGATGGTCTTGGTACTACTGCACACAGCAACAACATGAGAACTACTGCAAGAAAATTCTTTATATAAAGGAAAGCAGAGCAGAAGACACAAGAATACTTGTAACCATTACCAGTTCCTGATCCTGCATGATTTCTCCTGATCTCTAACATGCAAAAAGCAGTGTACAGCTATGAAGCCATGTTTTAAGTGACTACAATTTACATTTCCAAGATAATCCAAATTTTCTTGCTCTTCTGTTTAATTAATTCAGCATGTGTCCTAAGAGCTGAAAGAAGTCATTTTAAAGCAGAATTCAAGGTGCTGATTTTTACTGTCAATTTACTTTAGGCTTACCAGCTGCCAGAAGAGCTTCTTCTCCAACTAACACAAGTCCAATGTTATGATCTTTGCAGAACTGAGTAACAATAGTGTGATTGCTCACCAATACAGCTAAAAAGGAAAAGGAAATATAGTTAAGTTACTACTGTAAAGCCTAAAGAAGAGGTGGGAGATGAGAATGTCATTGTTCTGTCTCCCTAGTAAGTATGATTAAAATAATGAAACAGTCCATGAAGGGCAAAGTAAAACATACAATGTAATAGTAACAGAGTCCAGAAGCAACAGTGAGCATTTGCAACTTGTGCTACTGTTTTAATACCCATCTGCTAACTTATTTAATGCATTTTAGTTGCTGTATGTAATCAATGAAAATTTTTTAAAGCTGCTTATCATAACAGAACAAAAACTTCAAAAAATAAAATGGTAAGTTCATACAGAAACTCAGTTTTAACATCTGAGCAGAGATTTACTCAATGCCAGTGCATGAGGTACCTAAATTTAGCTGAGCAGCCTGGGTAGACACCAGAGGAGTTTCTATTCAGAACTTAGTAACTTTAAGCCTTCATTTCCTCTGTTAAGTTTTGCTGGTGAATTGGCCAGTGAATTCAAGCCTAACAGTGGGAAGAAAGAGATGAGAAATACAGAGTCTTGTGTAAGCCTGATATCTTAAGAAGCTAGGCTAAAAATAGATATAGTACAATGTTTTATTAGGCAGTTCTAAAATTCAGAAACAAAACATACAGAAAAATAACTATCTGCCTTAAATAATTAGTGGTACCAGTAAAAGAAAAGAGTAGTTGTTATCTCCTACCAACTTAATGCAAGTGTGGTCAGTGCCAACTGAAACAAACTGTTTCAGTTCTGTTTTACTGATTGCTTGACACAGTATTATGGGTTTCCTCTCCCTTTTTACCTGAATTTGAAATTTTTCCACTGTCAGCTGTTCCTGCATTTCCTGGAGCAACAAACACATGTTTTACATGTGGAGACTGGGCCAACTTCCAGGCCAGCGCATGCTCTCTGCCTCCACTGCCAATCACAAGCACCCGATCAGCCATGAACCTGTGCAAACCCAGAATGAACATATGTACCACTATCTACTTATTTCACAAATCCATGAAAAATTAAGCAAATATATAGAAACTACATCACCCGTAACTGGTAAGTAATATCAACCCATTTTGTATTAGAAAGGTGTCTATAAGACATCTGAACAAAGTAACTGTACCAGTAGTGTCACTGGATGGAGGCATCATTCACATCTGGTTTAAATACTTCCAACAATGAAATCACTGAGAATTTTTTCCACTTGTTTCAGCATAGTCAAGATTTCCTCTCTTAAGTATCCAGACTGAAATAATCTTGTCATGACAAGGTCTCATCAAGTCCTTTGCATAACTACACAGGGCAGGACTGAAAGTTTCATACAAATACTCTAGGTAACTTACCTGATAAATGTAACCACTGTAGTCAGTCTAGGAACTTTTATGAGTGCAAACACCCTCAGTAATAAATGGCAAAGACAGTCTTTGAAACAGATTTTATACTTTGACAATTGAACAGCATGCTTAATGAAAGAACAGCAGTTAATTTCACTAGCACACTGACATTTAAAACAGTTCCTCAGTAATATTTCTTGGTAAATTAGTTGTGATATATTTCAGGAATATTATCATACTCAATGTAGGTCACATTTGCAAACTTAATTTTTCTGTATGTGCTGAATGTGGACAAATGTCAGAGAGAAAAAACACTGCAGAACATGACCTTTAAGGAAGCTGCTAATGGCATAAACCAGTCCTTATCCAGGAAATAGATAATAAATTAAAGACACCACAAAACACCAGCTTTGCAAGTCACACATCAGCATTCTTTTCCCAGGAAATCATAGCCATTGGTTTGAGTTCATTGCATAGCTTCCAAAGGCAAACAGAAGCTAAATGGTGACACTGAGGTATACTATTTCAGAAAACAAGTTCATAGAACTGTAATAAATCAATAATCATGTTTAAAATTCCTGAGAGAGTATTAAAATGTCTTGATCTCATAGCAACAAAATAAAATGTAACTGTATATATTTTCATTATTATTAAATTGTTCAAGTACAATGTTAGTACTTCAGGTAGCCTGTTCATGGGAACTACAGATGATTGTGAATTAAGAAAGAGACTAATTCTAAGTATTGCACTCTATGCATATAAACACAGAGCATATGTTTAATCCTCTATCAATTGCCAGACTAATTTCCCTGCAATAGATTTTTCTAAGTCTTTATACTGTGTAACTGTCCAATACGTCAGACTTTGTCTTTCCTTCTGTCACTGCTTGATAAATAATTATGGAGTCATTAGGAAGTTGCTGTGAACTTAAAAGTAAAGGGTTACAGCTGCTCTATCTCTAACAAAGACATCAACATGCTCTCTATAAAACTTTACTAGGCACCACAGTCCAACCATTACCAAAAAAATGCAAAGTATTTTTGAAAGTATAATTATTTTTTTTCCCTTACATATAATTTCATAATTCACTTAAGTTTTCTAAGGCAAAATATAGATTAAAGTTCCTGACTAGGAAGAGAGTGAAGCCAAGCAGTGCCTCCTACCCTGTGGAAAAAAATGCATGTTTCCATTCCATATCATCGTAAGGACATTAATGACATTTTTTTGCAAAGCAATTCAAAAGCATGCTGGAAGAAGAGAAAGCTGGTAAGACAGTTGGTCCTAGTGGAAAGGCTGTAAAGAGAATATCTCACTTGAATAATCTTCCCTTACTGTGTCAGACCCTGCTGTTTGTCCACACAAAAGACTGAAGAGTCCTCCAGACAGATTTGAGTTCTTCCTTCTCCTCCTGCTTCAGATCAAAATGATTTCTGACCTTCTAAAGCCAAGGAAAAGGGTGAGAGGGTGAAAGAAACAGACAGACCTGCATACTGCCTAACAGCAGAATCCCCAGCAGGATCCTGTTAATGCCACCCTCCCTTCGAAACAAACCTTCCCACAGACTTCAGCAGTGTGGACCATTCTCCTCTCTTTCCTTTTTTGCTTAGCTAACAACAAAAACAACTCCTCCCCACCAATCAGTCCTACAACGTTAATGGTATTCAACCCTAGCGGAAAAAAAAACCACCCAAAAAGAGCTACAATACGGTATCAAAAAGCTGAGTTCATTGCTCAGTTTCCATGTTAAGAGCAATTTTATATCCTCTGACAAGTACAGAATCTCAAAGACAACTTGTAAAAATAAAATGTGGAATCACAGAATCAACTAGGTTGGAAAAGACCTTTAAGATCATCAAGTCCAACCATTACAGCTAAACAGAAACATTGCAGTTAAAGCCTGCACACATAACTCCCACTACTCATTGTAGTGGGACATACCTTTATATATATAAATATGTATAAAGGTTATTTTAATATCTAGCAGGGCATATTTATTCCTTATTAAGGGGGAATTGTGCCCCCCTTAAATACTACTCTTTTTACATTCTGAAGAAATTTAATGCAAGCAGTGCCAGAGATACAATGTATATAATACCTGTCATTTTATTCTTCACTGGTTCTTATACCATCCTCTTCACTATCCTAATTCTTTCATGGTAGTATCTGAAATCCTTTGGTTAACATCTGCCAAGCTTGCAGTACTACCACTCCTTGCTGAAAACAAAATTAATGCATCCCAACATAGCACTAAGTAGTATCTGTGTGCCTTAAATTAGGCAATGAGAAATAAACCCCCCACATTAACAGAAACACAAACCATTCCTTTCACACCACTAAAACAAATTTTTAAGGAAATCGGTGAAGTTTATTTAAAACTTCTACGTAATTAACAGCTTACGTGTTGTTGAACAGATGCTGTACTTGAACCTCCCAGATAAAGAAGACATGCCTCCTATAGTAGTCTTAAGCGTCACTTACCAGGTATCTGGGCTGCCTTCCTTAGATTTGCAAACTCACAGTTCTGTATTTTCTACCTGTGACTGAACAGCAAACCACCACAAGGAAAGAAAATTCTTATTTCTCATAAAAATTCCTCTCTCTTTTACAATGGTTTTCGGATTTTTTTCTTCCAGTCAGAAGGCTGTGACAATCTGAGTCAGAAACAGAACTCACGCAGCCCTCAAACATCTCTCTGCTACATGACTGGCCAGCAGCAGACAATTTAATCTTGCATTCATTTCAGCAAGTCAATTTGTAATGCAATTATTTGATCAAATTGTTTTCCTAAGTACATGAAGTGCATATGCAGTAGATGAAGGCAATATACATGGAGACTTCTAATATCATAATCTGACTTTCACAAAAGGTGAATTTGAAACTAAAAAAAAATATACAGAATACCATTACCTAATGAATAGAAGAAAAAAAAAAAATCTCTGAAACAATGGGTTTTAGAACTGTTTATTCGCCAAGATAGCATACTGGCAAAGCCATATCAAGATGAGCAGCCAAAGTATAACATTGACAGCTGTAAAACAAAGTAGATTGCTCTGTGTGGCTGTTGCTTCCTTTCAGATGTCAATGCCACCATTGCATTGGCTGGATCTGCTGCATGCTCACCCCTACCCCATCAAGTATCATTAATAAAAAAAACACAAGGATTTTTTTAAATTGGTTTGTTTTTTAATAATACATGCTGGTGTTCAGGGAGAAAATACATTGTTGCCTTCCATCTGCTGGGCCTTCAGTTCATGCATCTGGGTTCTCCTTTCCAGGCTGAGGATGAAAACTGTTTCTTGGCTTTGGCTTTCTTTAGCTTTTTTCTTCACCATTTCCCAACACCCAGCTGATGCCATGCATGGAGGCACAGCCTTTCCGAGTGAGCCCAGTGAAGGACAGCTTATCCTACTGCTAGCATGGACACTTAGGGGCTTTCACAGCATTTTGAAAACCATGTTATGGGCAAGGGTGAGGATGCTGTGAAAGACCAAGCCTTTGTCTGGGTAAGTACTACAGGGGAAGCCATTTCGTAAGCCCATGAGGAGACAGGGGAACTCACCACCTACTAAGGTGGAATTCACTCAGGAGAACAAAGGATATAAAGTCGTTAAGGTCTACATGTGTAAATGTACACATTAAAAACATGAAAAGCTGGGCCTCCTGTACACCGTCACTGTGTGGCCAGCAGGACTAGGGAAGTGATTGTCCCTTTATATTCAGCACAATTAGTTCTGTGCCCCTCACTACAAGAGAGAGACTGAGTTGCTGGAGTGCTCCAGAAGAGGTTAACGAAGCTGGTGAAAGGTCTGGAGCACAAGTCTGTTGAGGAACAGCTGAGGGAACTTTGGTTGTTCAGTCTGGAGAAGGCTCAGAGGGGATCTTATCACTCCCTACAACTGACTGAAAGGAGAATGTAGAGGGGTGGGGGTTGGTCTCTTCTCCCAAGTAACTAGTGATAGGACAAGAGGTAATGGCCTCAAGCTGTGCCAGAGGCGGTTTAGATTGAACGTTAGGAACCGTTTCTTCACAGAGAGGGTGCTCAGACATCGGAACAGGCTGCCCGGGGCAGTGGTGGAACCACCGTCCCTGCAAGTGCTCACAATCCGTGTGGACGAGGCCGCCAGTGACATGGTTTAGCGGTGGGCCTGATGAACTTAAAGGTGTTTCCCACCCTCGCTCCCTCCCTGCCCACACGCCGCCGTGCCGCCCAGCCCTTCCCGGGCTGGACACCCCAAAACCACCCCCCCGCTCCCC